TTGGTTTGTGAGACAGGGTCTCACTATGTAATTGAGACTGACCTGGAACTCACTATGTAGCCCAGGCTGGTCTGGAACTCACAGTGATCCTCCTGCCTCGGCCTCCCGAGTGCTGGGATTACAGGAGTGCACCACCATGCCCGGCTTCAGTAATTTCTTCTGACAGCCCTGTGAATAATAATTGGAAAAGTATTCTCTTCAATTTACTGATAAGGAAACTGAGCCTCAGAGACAAGTAATTTACCCATCTTCACAGCAAGATCCAAATCCAGACTGAATGAGATGTCTCTGATCTCAGAACCTGGGCCCTCAACTATGACTCACGCTGGCTTTATCTCGGCACAGTGCTTGGTGTTCACATTTGCCGCTTTTCCCAGTCCCGGTATCAGGTGTGAGAGGACAGAGCAGCTGTGATGGTATTTGGTGATTTGCTGAAGGGCATTATAACACATCTCCATCCTACCAGCATGCAACAAGTTGGCAGCTAATATAATTTTTCTACGACCACTGTTCTTGCAGGTTTTTCATTTGTGTTTTGTTTTGTTCTTGGTACCAGGAATCAAACTCAGATCCTTGAGTTTTCAAGGCAGGCAATGACACTACTGAGCTAAATCCCCGGCCCTGTTCTTGTAGTTTTTACAGAATGTGAGTTTTGCAAGAGGATTCAGGTCACAGAGTATAGAGAGACCCACTGGTGGAAGAATTATGTTGATTGAAATCTTCAAGTCATGGAGCCAATAATTAATTAGGAAGGGGAAAAGCATAATGAAAAAACGGGGAAATTTATCCAGTTAATAAAGCCAGTTGATTTAACTGTAGAATTAAAATTCATAGCGCTTGCTTAGACTAGCCAGTATTCAAATTTTAAATAATTTGTTTTTGGAAGGCTTTATGAAACTCTCCACTGTTACAATGTATGCCATCTGGGATTTAGCATTTATAAAATGTGCAGTAAAGAGATGCCAAGAGTTTCCTCATGCAAACCAGATGGTACAATAACAGCTCTGTCTTTATTTTTCTGGCCGAAAAATAGGGCTTTGAATGGCTTGAAACTTATGTGAATAAATTAAGCCCAATCAGTACTTCAGGGACATTACAGTTTCAATAGTCAGTTTACCCTCCTAAATATTTTCATCAATGTTTTCGTTTAGTGAAGAAAAACCAAAAGTGCAGACAGTGGTTCCTTTTCATTGCTTCCCATCTTTATTCTTAAACAATGTTTCTAAAGAAAGAAACACCAATGACCTTTAATATGGCCAAGAAAGTTTCTTTAAGAGTGAGGTCTGTGATTATATCAGCAGCAAAGATGTTGAATTCTCTTATGAATCAGAAAAATCCACATCAGATAGGTTGGACAGTTTTATTACTGTGCTAACGAGAAGAAAAATATAAGTTGGCATTTTCTGGATAATACATCTAACATATTTTTACCTCAATAAGTTTCTCATAAACTCAAGTTCAGCACAGACAGTGGTATGCTAATGATGCCTTATTTTTTCCTGGCTGGGTTTCTATAATAGGAATTTTGTAACTACGTCTAGTTTATTTTCTGTTAGTGTTTTTATTTTCATTAAAATTCATAATTAAGATCTTCATTAGATGAAGTAATCTTTGTTAAAAATAACGTTCTGCTCAGACCTTTCTTTTCCCTTTTACATAAAAATGTGCTTCCCCACAACGAAGTGAATTTCTTCTGTAATTAGACTTGAATAGATTTAAAGAACAAAAACAGTCTGCTTTGAAAACCAGATCTCTTGGAGTTCAGGGGCCAATCTCATTAGTAAAAATACGTGTTTCTGGGCCATACAAGCTATTGAATTTCTTTCCCAATTAATAATGAATAGTTTTTCAGAACAATGAAGGAGACCTTCAGTTTGTACTTTGCTTATTTTGTTTTTTCTTGAGAATATATTTGAAGTACCAACTACCACAAATCTTTGTTTCTTATTCCTAATCTCCTTTTTTAAAAAATTCTGGTGGTGGGGGCTTGAACCCAAGGCCCTTATGCTGAGCCACATCCTCCAACCCTTTGACACTTTTTTATTTTGAGGCAGGATCTTGGTAAATTGAGATCCTTCTGCGTCAGCTTCCCAGAATGCTGGGATTTTCAGAGGGCACCACCACGCCCAGCTCTTTGCTTTTTCTTTTCCTCTCCCTGAGTAAATATTCAGAACTCTCTTTTATAGATGGTTACAGTCTTGGGTAAATTCCTTCTCCAAATGCCACTTCCTTTTGGCAAGGACGGGACTTCATGATAGGTGGAACACCTGTTTAGCTCCCCTAGTTGTCAGGGAACTCATGTTGTGTCAGGAGATGCTGCAAAATTATAAACACAGCAATGAGAAGCTGACAATGTCATCGCTCTACAGGGAAGAGAGGAGCCACTGGTAGAAAGCTCTCTGTGCGCTGCTCTTGGGGCCTGTTAACCCTATTTTCTCTTGGTCTTTGGCAAAAGGAAGCGATGTCCAGTCAGGAGGGCCTCTCAAAGTGAAATAGTGAAATGCGCTGGGGTGTCAGATAATGGAAAATAAAGGACAAAGTAAGACCTGACCCTCTGTACTTAAGTGACGGGAGGATACACAAGTCGTTGGAGGGATATTTCTCCGAGTTACACTACAACTGCAGGTGTTTACAGGAGTGGGGGCAGGTGTGGCTCCAATAAGGTTGATGAGAGGTATGACTGGGGTCAGTGTCACTCAGGTCTGATTCTTAGACTGTCATGTGCATGGCAAATGTTCTCTGATTTTCCAAGAGTCCAGCAGCATCTGGTCAGAGGAGGCGCACATGTACCAGAAGGCCAATACAGTCAAAACACAGAGTCCACGATTGCCCCACAATCACTAAGACAATTACGACAAAGTTAGTGTCTATAATACATGCAAAGCTGTGCTAGTTCTTTCCATTAACTTTGGCCCACACCATTTCCTACTAATTGTTTCCTACTAATTTCAAAACCCGGAGAACACTGCATGCTTCTATCTCTCCCTCTCCTCTTCCCTCCTTCCCCCCGTCCCTCCCACCCCATCCCCCTAAGCTACAGTCACACTACTAGTTACCAGTTTGTATTCAGAGAGTACCATTAGGAAAATGCAAATTAAAATCATAATATGCCACTTCATAATAAAAACTCGACCTCAAGGTCTTTCAAGGATGTGAAGAAACTGGAACGAACCCTCCTATACTGTTGGTGGCAGTTTGAAAAGGTACATCCAATTTGGGAAACAATTTGGCAATTTCTTTTTATGTATAATATGTTTTATTTGTAATATAAAATAATATGATTAACAGTAATTAAATTTCTGGGGTACAGTGTGAAATTTTAATACTTGCATACAAGTGTAATGAACAAATTAGAATAATCGCCATGTCTATCACCTTAGACATTTAACATTTGTTTGTGTTGGGAATATATAAAATCTTTTCTAAGTGAATCATAGATATGCTTCTAATGCCATAGAACATTAGAGCTCATTTTAGCAATTTACGATATAACCTAGCAATTCTACATTGTGGTAAATACACAAGAGATGTGAAAGCACACCAGTATGTCTACACAGTGACTTTCTGCGAATCTTCATAGCAATCTTGCTCATAATTGCGAAAAAGGAGAAACAACCAAAATGTCCATCAACTACTGAATGGATCAAAAGCAGTTGGTACATTAGCAGAGTGAAATATTATTTACCAATAAAAGGATGTTGGTCAAAATTTATACTTTGCAAAAAGTTAGACACAAAAGACTATATATTGTACAAATTCCCGTTCTATGAAGTACTAATACAAGCAAATCCACATACGAAGAAAATACATTAGTACTTTTCTAGAGCTGGAAGTGGGAATGAGAGTTGATTATAAATGAACATGAAGGAAATGTTTAGTGTGATAGAAATACTTTTAAATTAGATTATGCCAGTGTTTACACAACTCTGTAAATTTGCTAAAAATCATTGAATTTGAATGATTTTTAAATGAATTAAATTGGTAAAGTGAACGGGTAAATTTCAAGGCATACGGAGTGTCTACCTTGCTGAAGTTGTTTAAAAGACCTCCCCAGTGAGCTAGAATACTTCTAAAATTTATAGTAATTATATTTTATGTTCTGTGCCTAGTTGACCTGTTAATGGACATAGAAAAAAATTAAATACTCGAGATATTGGGCCTTAATATCCAGTGTTCTGTCCATTTCAGAAGGAAAGGGCCCAAGTTCCATGCTTTGAACCTTTCCAGCTGCTTTCCCAGGAGAGAGGCTGGCTTGAGCTTTGCCCTGGAGTGACGTTCCTTGTCACTGATTAACCAGCTCCCTAGGAAGTTAGCTCTGCCACCCTTCTGCTCTGCCTGGAGAAAGCCATCCCATCAAGCTTTGGTGAGTCGAAAAAATGTCCACTCGCTACCACCAAGCTGCTAGTGATAGCTACCTGGAACTTCTGAAAGAAGCTACCACACGAGACCTGAATCTTTCTGATGAAGATGGCATGACACCCACTCTCCTGGCAGCCTACCACGGCAACCTGCAAGCCCTGGAAATAATCTGCAGCAGAGGGTAAGTTCCACCTGGTGGTTTCTTTGCCCTCTTTGTAAACTCTTGAAATAATTGGCTTTTTAGTGAAGAGAGAAAACTGGGCTAGAGATGCTTTCTTTTATACTGAGATTTGGCACCATGGGAGTGGCTCGTCCCTTAGCCACACACACAGAGAAGAGGCCCTTTCTTCTAGGGTATTGTATCTCTCTTGGTTAGGGAAAGATATTTTAATTCTATGTACGTAAAAGGCTTTCCCATGAAGTTTAAGTACTTGCTGAGAAGTCACCATTCCACCTGGCTGTCACCCTTACTTGAGATAAATGATGGGTTTTTGTTTTTCCATCTACACTGTTACACTTCTGTGGCCATTTATTTATCATTTATTAGCATTCAAGTCCGTGATTCTTAATTAGAATTGTTGGATCTCCAAGCTATAGAAGGAACTTTCAGCCCTTCTTAGCATCATTACCTGTCTGGTCAACACTCAAACAATCACACACACAGTCGACACCCACCCTGTAATTTCATACAGTGCCAGGCAGTTTTCTCTTGCTTGCTCTGGCTGTTACGAGGTGGGTGTCAGTGTGACTTAGGTAAAGTAAAGAAATAAATGTGAATGAGGGAGCCAAGTGAATTCAGTTCAAACATATTTAGTATCTGATATAACACAGTCCCTCTTTTGTTTTCTTCTTTACTAGCCACTGGGGACACTGATCAACAACCTATCATGGTGATCGGATTTGAGAGGGGGAAAATAAACAAGTCATCTATTATGTGTTCTAAAAAGAGTAGAGGGCACTAAGTAAATAATATAGATATCCATCACAACCTCAGAGTGAGAAGAGGCTTTTCCTAAGCAGAAAGTGATTAAATTGGGATTGGAAAGACAGGATTGAAAAAATGAGGGGTGGACCAGGAAAAATGGAAGAAAGGAAGTTTCCTCTAAGATTGAGCACTTGCGTTCTAGGAACTCAGGAAGTTGGGTGTGACTGGACTTGCCTTGACTAGGGACAGGACAAGTGTGAGGAATAAAGCCATGTCACAAAGAGCCCTTGTAAACTCTGTGAAGGAGTTGAACTTTATCTTAATGGCAGGGAAGCCATGTCTTGTGTTTATCCAGGAGAACCTCAGGTAGACTCCTGTGTATAAAAACAATAAAACCTTGGTTTGTAAGCATAATTCATAGAAACATGCTTGTAGTCCAAAGCACTTGTACCATATTTCAAAGCAAAATTTCCCATAAGAAATAATGGGAATGCAGATGATTCATTCCATAATCCAAAAATATTAATATAAAATTATTATAATACTGTAATATAATATAATAAAGAGAATACAAAATATAAAGAAATATAAACAAATTAAGTTACCTTTGAAAACCTTCATGGACGGTGTGAGGAAGACGAGAGAAAGGGTTATTGTGTAGACTTGCACTGTCATGAGTGGAATCATTGCTATCTATTGGTTTGATGCAAACTTTTTCTTTTCATGCAACTTTAACAAGGAACCTACCCAGTGAATGACATTCACTTTTGCCTCCCTTTGAAGACTTCGTGGAAATGTGGTGTTGCATTGTTAAACATCGTTAAACAGCAGTATGTAGCACGTACACAACTGAAAGACTTTTTTAGATGTGTTGACAAATTGCCTTTCAGAAAGTGAATACTCATTTTGCCAATATTAGGTCCAAAGGTATGTATCAGTGTAGCTTTCGTGATTTTTAGCTACTGGTGAGGTTACAAATTATTTTACATTTAGTGGACCTTGTATTTCCACTTCTGTGAGCTCTATACTTATAACCTTGTCCCACTTTTACAGTGGCATCCTCAAAACTGCTCACTGATTTATATAAATGATGTTTTTAAAGTTAACAGTATCAACTCTTTGTCAAATATATTATACATATTTCCACAAAACTCATATTTTGATATTTTAAATACAAGTGCAAAAATAAATATATATAAGTATAGACTTTTAAGTATATATGAGTCTATCAATCTTTACTATATAATTCTAACATGGAGAGTCATTCATGACTAAATATTAAAGATATTTTCTGTAGTTTTTTTGGGGGGGGCGTTGAGATAGGATCTCACTATGTAGTTGAGACTGACCTGGAACTCACTATGTAGCCCAGGCTGGTCTTGAACTCACAGCTATCCTCCTGCTTCAGCCTCCTGAGTGCTAGGATTACAGGAGTGCACCACCATGCCTGGCTTAAAGGTTTTTGATCTGTATTGTGCCAGGAAGTTTTTGCTCCCTCCATTTTCTTCTTCGCACTCCTACTAAAACTAAGTATAAATATGCTTAAATCATTGTCTATCTGATAGGCAAAAAGGAAATGCTAATGCATTCTTTTATTTTGCATTTTCTTTGATTATTAGCAAGTTCTAATAATTCCTTTTTATGTAGAAAAGACATTTTTTAAAGAATTGCTTTTTTCCTGAGGACATCTTCACAAAAAATCAAATCAATTTCAAAAAGAGAAATTACAGAGGAACAGATGCTTAGAATGATTTAATTTAAGCAAGTGGCCTAGTTAGTGACAATAAGACCAGGCCAGCTTTAAAAATTATTGCCCAAAATGCACCAATTTACCAAAAAGAAAGGAAAACTATACATTAGTTTTAAAACTCCTTAATTTCTCTTTTGGGAACAATAGGGGAAAAAATATCAACAGTGGACTGAATTGATCCCAGGTTGGACTTGGATCATCAAATGAAGGAGCCGGTTCGTGGACACCTTGGCAGGTGTAGAAAATGGTGCTATCATAAATGTGAAAGAGAACTAGGATTGAATTTAGGAAGACTCCATGAAGCTTGCAGCAGGAAATATTTTTAAGTTTGACATCAACTGGAAAAGTTGCTTTAAATAGCATTTCTGCAAGTAGAAATAGCTTGTGTGTATTGGGGAAATCATATATTATACTACTGACAATTTCATCTATGAATTTGGAATTTTGGGTTAGAAACCTTCTTTAAAGAAAACCTGCCTTTCTGGTCATCTTGGGTTGTCCTCCTGTCCTTTCTCTCATTTTAAAAACATCATTTAAGACTCGCTGAGATGGGAATATTTCAATATGTTAGGGCTTTACGCATATTGATTTCATCTAGACTTCTCAGTACCCTGTCACTTCCCTCCGAGGAATTATCTTTTTAGCTTATCCAACCCAAGGGAAACTTTGAGCAAATTTAATCAGCGTGTTTTTGTTTATGTCTATAGAAACGTCTTGGATGTTTCACAATCCTTCTTTGAAATCCAGGGTACTAGAGGAGCCGTTTGAATACGGTGTTGGGTTAAAAGTGAAACCACGTTTGGGGGTGAAGTACTGTGCTCCTCCTGACAACCATGCCAAGGGTGAAAGAGGTCTCCTTTGATCCAGAACAATTAATTCACAAGGACTGACTAGAGCCTTCTTGAAAGAAGCTGCCCACCAAAACCGCGCTGTTCAGTATTTGCTTTCCTTAGATTTGGTTTCATTTTCCTGCGCTTTCTTGCATCTCACTTTTTCCCCTAGCTCCATGTGCTCTGGTCACATTGATGTATATACTCTGGGCCCCCAAATACGCCACGCAATGGCATCCATAGGTGTCCCTGCTCATGTTCGTCTCTCTGTGCAAAAGGAGGTTGCCAGTTTATAGGCTGGGTCTATGGGGCTAGTCCACAACGTGTTTTACTTGGACTTCACTATGTTTTTCTTTTAAGTCTGAGTCAGGGCTTTTTAAAATTCCATGAAATTCTGGATCTCTGACTTCCTGTTAAAAATAGGGGCTCTAGAAATATCGTTTCTACTTTCATTCAAGGTAGCATCAGGCACAGCTGATACCCAGCTGGCCCTTTCTAGGAAGAGCAAAACTTTGTGTCTGTGCAGAGAACAAACCTGGCCCCATTCAATTGCTTACATTTTCCTGCTTGTCTTCTTGGGGTTGGTTTGAGATTTCTGCAAGGAGATACAGAAGATGAAAGGGAGGAAAAAAATTTCTAATTATCTGATTAAGGAGATAACATAAGTATTCAACAAATTACATAGGACTACAGGTAAGTGCTTTAAAGCCAGAGGGGCTGTTGTGCTGCTGGAAATTTACCAGGTGGGTGTGAGAAAAAATGAATACATGAAATTAAGGATTAGAGACAAGGGATGTAATGACAAGTAATGTTTATTGAATAGTCACAGTATACCAAGCACTTTTCTAGGCTTTATATATACTGACTTATTTAATTCACATGGCAATTCTGATTAGGTAGTATAATTGGATTTTGTTGTTGTTGTTGTTGTTGTTATTTTTGTTTGTTATTTTCAGTACTTGGAATTGAGCCCAGGGCCTTCACATTGAACTACATCCCCACCCCTTTTTTAATATTTTCTTTTTAGACAAGATCTTGCTAACCTGCTGTATTTCCCAGGCCAAGCTTGAGCTTGCAATCATCCAGCCTCAGTCTTCCAAGTAGCGGGGATAATCAGCATGTATTTTTCTCAATTTAAGATGAGGAAAGGAAGTCCTAGAAAAGTTAAGCTGGAGGACTTGTAGCTGGAAAGATGGAAAACTGAAACATTTTAATATGTCTGTAGTGTCAGATTTAAAGACAGGGTTGATCCAAAGTATGCTGCCTGTTACCCTTGGGCAAATCAGTGAAGCTCTTTGAATCTTATTATACTTTCCTTATTTTACCTGATGATTCTTATCCCCCTTCTCTTAAGAGGGAGATTTTGATGGGTGGTAGTGGGCAGTGAATGTGAAAATGCTTTGCGACTGAAAACCAGGAGGCAGCCAAGAGTTCCCAGGGAGAGGTTATCATCAAATTGTATTTCAGTGGTCCACTGGTTGGGTTACACTAACTAGTGCTTCTCTTCCCAGCCTGTAGTGGCCTATAAATCACCTGATGATCTTGCTAAATTCTAGACTCTGAATCAGTAAGTCTGTGTTACAATCCAAATTTCTGCATTTCTAACAAAATCACGTGTTGCTGAGGCTGCCTGCCTGGGAACCAAATTTTGAGTAGTAAGAAAATACTCAAAGGAGAAAGTTTTCCGTGCATTATCAGATCAGCTGCAAAGGTGTGGATCTTCTTTTCTGTTTGGGCCTTCTACTCACCAGCAATGCTAACCAGGACTTCACAGGCTTTCTCTCCTATCCTTTCTTGGGGCCTCTCACAGGGAGCTGGTAGCCTTAGGCAGGATTCCAGTCGGCATCCATTCATTTCTGCAAATGAATGAATTTGCTGGGCTCCTACTACATGTCTCAGTTTCAGTGCCAGGCCTCAATACCATCTAGTGTCCTTTTTCCACTGGAAACTCTTGTGGAATTATTCATTTATATGATTCTGGAAGTAAGCGGAGCGACAAATAGAGGTATTCTAGCCTTTGTGTGAATAATGGTTGTAGCAGACCCTGTTTGCTTCCTACTTACATCAATTCCTCTCTTTTTTTTCTTGCTGATAGGACCTGCTTTTTGTTTTCTTTCAGCTGTTTATTTTCTCACATGTGACTCAGGGAAGGGTAGTAGCCTTGTGCTGGAATCAACTCTTACCAGCTCCTGAGAGGTTATTGCTAAATTTTCAGAAAGTTTGAGAATCAGTTAAACAACAATTATTAAAACAAAATTGTGTAAATTTACAACATAATAAATTATATTTAAAAGGTAATACTAAGCTGTGTGTGGTGGTATGTTCCTGTAATCCCAGCATTTGGGAGGCTGAGGCAGGAGGACTGAGTTTGAGATTAGCGTGGGCTACTTAACAAGTTTAAGGCCAGTCTGAACTGTGTAGCAAAAGCCTATCTCAAAAAAAAATTTTTTTTTACTATAGTCTATGCTCTTAAGATTGTGCATACTCATTATATCTATGTGATGAAAATAATTTATAATAGCATGCTGATGCACCTCTCTTCCAAACTATCTGAGGATGTCACATTGGTAACTTGAGATTTATCACAGTGAGTATATTTACAGCCCAGAAACTGGCACATACTCTTAACTCCGGAATTAGTTTTTTTCCTGAATGAGCCAGTTATTAAACATTTATTAAACAGTATGTTATTAGATAGTCCTATTCCTAGATTCAAGGGAAAATTCTAATTTTATCTAAATTAGACATGGTACTCTATTTCCCTTCCCTGAAAACCAATTCTGGCCAATGAAATGTGAAATTTGTCCTGCTAGAGAGTTCTTTGGAATGCTTTTCTTCTAAATAGGAAGTGTATTATAGTGATTTTTTTTCCCCCCTATTTCCGGCGATCTGGTCTCTGGCTGTAAAATATCTAGATTCACAGCAGCTATCACACATCAACATCCAGGGAGGATAAACATGCTGCACTCACATGTATTTTGTTCATTTTTAAAATTTTTTCCACTTTAGAGAAAAAAATTTTCAACATGCCTGTTTCTGTGTTTTCTCCTAGAGGGGACCCCGACAGATGTGACATCTGGGGGAACACTCCTCTCCATTACGCTGCCTCCAATGGCCATGCCCACTGTGTCTCATTCCTGATCATTTTCGGTGCCAACATCTTTGCCCTGGATAATAACTTACAGTCTCCACTGGATGCTGCTGCCAGCAGGGAGCAGGGCGAATGTGTTGCCCTCCTGGATAAGGCTGCCACCACCCAGAATGCTGTAAATCCCAAAAAGGTCATCAGGCTGAAGGATCAAGCTCAGAAGAATGCCAGGAGGCAAATCAAAGAATGTGAAAAGCTCCAGGAGAAACATCAAAATAAGATGGCCCATGCCTACAGCAAGGAGGAATCTGGGACTTTTTCTTCTTTCAAGAGCTCGTCCTCCAGGTCCTCCTTCTCACGTGCTCCTGCTTCCAGTACATTTGGATCACTCTCTAAGGGCATTAAAGACACCTTCAAGTTGAAGTTCAAGAAAAACAAAGATACAGCAGAGGAGATGGGGAAGGAAAGCAGAAGTGGGCAGAGGAATGTGATGGAAGTGTTCAGAGAGGAGGAAGAAGACTCGTTAGCGGGGAACTTCACAAAGAAGCTCACATTCTCAGCAGACGAGGACCAAGATACACAGCATGAATCCGTTCTCAACCGTCCAGGTCTTGGAAATATTGTTTTTATGAGAAACCGAATGTTGAGCTCCGAAGACCTCTCAAACAGCAAGAGCGGGTCAGGATTTCAAATGCCCAGGGAATTTCTCCAAAGACAAGGAACAGCAGAGGCTGATGAAGCTGAGGCTGAAGAAGGGGAGGAAAATGGCCTTGTAGGTGATCTGCCTTGGGATGAGGATGAAGTTGAGTGGGAGGAAGAGGAGGCTGATGCAGCTCCCCTGGAAGTGTTCTTGCAGTCCCTGCACCTGGGAGAATTCCTTCCCCTTCTGGTGAGAGAGCAGATTGATCTGGAAGCTCTGTTGCTTTGCTCTGATGAGGACCTTCAGAACATACACATGCAGCTGGGTCCCAGGAAGAAAGTCCTCGACGCCATAAACAGAAGGAAGCAGGTGTTGCGGCAGCCTGGGCAGCTGGTGGACACCAGCCTCTGAAGGGCTGTGCTGCGTCACCAGGATGAGCCTGCATCCCCAAGAGATGCTGTGGCGAGGGGAGGCCCCGCAGGCCTCACCCCTTACCTGCCCAGTTCTGCACCACTGGGAGCCCATTCTAGGGTTTTGGAGAAGCCCATCTGGGAAGGAGGCCCAGACTACTCTGGGAAATACGTAGACCTATCTGAATAAACTATCAGTGAGAAACTCCAGGGTACTGTGGAATAAGACTATGGCATTTCTTTTCAATTTTCATCTTTATATTTTTGAATAAAGAAAAGGTTAAATGGATGACAGAAAAGGGAAAGAAATTTTCTTTTTTGTCTGGGCATAGAATGATAATTTCTCATCACACTAGCCTAGTTTTTAATCCACACAGCCCGGGGATTCTAAGTCTGGTTCTGTCCTTAGCTCTATAACTTAGCTTGTCATTGGACATCGAAGTCCTTCATTGGCCTGAGGCTCGATGACCAACTTAAATGCATCTAACCCTTAAACAGATGCCTACATGTTTAAAAGAGGGTGAAGAAAGAAAGAAGAGTGTACCTTTGGTAGATTGAATCGTGTCCCTCTTAAAATTCATACGTTGGGCCCTTACCACCTGAACTGTTTTTGAAGATAGGTGACTAAAGCTTACCTGGTGTCCTAATGTTGGCATCCTACTCCTCTATGATGTTGTCCTTATAAGAAAAGAAAAATATACAAAAGATGTGATCACACACAGAGAAAAGATTGTATAAGGACACAGCAAGTGGGTTCTGTCTACAAGCCAAGGAAAGATCTCAGGAGAAATCAAATGTGCCAACATCTTGATTTTGGGCTTTCAACTGCCAGAGGTGTGAAAAAATAAATTTCTGTTGTGTAAATCATTCTGTCTGTGTTTTGTTATGGCAGCCTGAGCCCCTAATACAATGCATAAGTAAGAGGGTGGTAAAAGAGAAAGAAGGATACAGAAGAAAGATTTATGTACTGATGACTTTTCCAAGTGCCTCCTGAAATTACAAAAAGAAAAAAAATAATTTGTATGGAAGATTTGCTTGTAAAACTAAATTTCACATCTTTGTAAATTTTACTTATGTCTCTTGTTTATTATCGTTTATTACTATTGCTACATGTCCTAATGTGGGCAGGTTCCGTGATATACTTTAGCAAAATTGCTATTGACATTTTTTGAAAGGTGACCCCAAATTCAAATTGAAGCCCTATGTAATAGCTAAGTTTCATTGGGTTTTCATAGCCAGAAGTACAACAAGAGGAACCTACCATGTGTGTGTAGTGTAGCAACTGCTGTTTATTTTCAGCAAGGCTATCTATCTAGGTTACATTGAGAGGTATCATGAAGGATATAAACTTCAGGATGATACAGGTACTCGAATCTGATGAACAGTCACCTCACTCTTTGATTAATGTGCTTAGGAAGCTTGTTGGTCATTAAATAAGTATATTGCATTGGTGGATAATTATGTTTACAAATACTGTTTTGTTCAGGAATAAACTGAAATTGTACTTGTCTTAATAACATGCACAAATGCTGTCAGTACACAGAAAGCACTCAGAAATGTTTGTAGTCCAAGGCTGCCTGTAGTATATGTCATTATTGGAGATTCCAGGATCCTCTCTCCACAGATTTCCCAGAATCTTCCTGAGATACGATTTCTACTTCCAAACCAGACTTCCGTAATAAGGAAATCCATTGGGTTGGGAGAAACGAGCCTAAACGTGTGTCTCTTACCACTTTTGGGGGCAGATACTGATTGACATTTTTATGCTCTTCTTTGGGGCTCTCAGTCTCCTACAGTTTACAGAATTAATAAGTGAGGGGCTCTCTCTCCTGACTGATTAGTGAAGACATAACCTCTTCATCACACAGCATTATGTTATAAAGCAGGTTTATACCATATTTTAAAAGGGTATAAATGCACTGAGAATTCCAAATCTTTCAATCTACCTCCTCCAAGAAAAAGGAGCCTAAGAAGATGCTAGAGCAATAGACAGGCAAGGATGGTTATGAGCCAGTATGAGTTGCAAACATTCACTGATCTCAGACTTCTGTCCCTTAAAGATATTTGCATTGGCTCAATCTGGTGGTATCTGATCTCTGCCCAATACCCTGCTTTTTTCTCTCCTACTTAGTTCGATGTAAAAGTCATCAATCAAGGCAAGGTGACAGGAACATTTCACTGAAGAGAACATGCAGGTGAGTAAATGCATATGGTGCTTCTATTTCAGGCCAGCATGTAAGTACCAGTCAGTTATGTGCTCATAATCCTGAGTCACAGGTAAATCCAAAGCCCAAGTCTTATCTGACATCTCCTCAAACGTTCCACACACACACATCAAACTCAGGGTGCCCAGAATTGAACACATTTTCTTCCCAAATCAAGTTCTTAACATGAATAGTTTTTTCCCTTACACACCTGGCAAGGTCAAAAGACATTTTTGATTGTGGTGAGTTGGGCAGGAGAGCTTCTGAAGTCAGGTGAATAGAAACGATGGATGTTCGGTGTTGTACAGTGTATAAGGCAGCCCTCTGTGATGGTGAATCCTCCAGACCGAATGTTGATAGTCCTGAGGTTGAGCACCACCTATCCAGGTACCGGGGATCAAACTTGGGACCTTGTGCTTTCGAGGCAGGCGGCAGAATCGCTGAGCTAAATCCCCAGCCCTAAACTCTTCATTTTTGATGAATGCCAAGCTCAACCCAAAACGTCTCCTTTTTCTTGCCTTCATCACCCAACTGGTCACTTAAGTCCCTTCAACTCTTTAATATGTCATAAACCTAAATTCTCTTCTATGTCTGCAAGACCCTCATTTATTTTGTGCCCCCCTCTTTGCTCACCTGTGTTCAGAGGATCCTGTCTATCTCTAATTTGTTCTCTGCAGTGCTTGTTGAGTGATCTTTCTAATAGGCAAACCCTCTCATGCCACTTTCGCCTCCCCATTGATTTTCAGGCCTTCATCATCCCATATAAAATTCTTGTAAGAGAACTATTCTCTCCTCTAAGCTGTTGGTTTTGTTTCTAACCATTCCTCTTTGTCCCCTAATCATAACCACATCAGTTTTTTTATAGCTTCCAGAATATATCATGCCCTTCTTTTGCCTGTGTCTTTGTTCATGACCATCCCTCTGCTTGGAAAACTTTCTGCATGCAGCCAGCCCCACTGAGAGATCCACTTTCTCTCTCTTAAGATGTGCAGACTGCTTTCTATTTGTCCCTCTAGAACTTCTCTCTGCTCTTTTCCATCCTGCTCTCTTCAGGTGGCTGACTTCTGTAGGTTGCATGAAAGAGCACCTTTGCCTTGGGGCTTCTGCTTGCGTTTAGCCAGTGGGAGGTACCAAGAGGAGACTAGAGAATGAAAGATGGAGAGACTGGGGTATTTATTCACCTGTTTCTTCCATGCAGGGCCATAGCTTCCTTCATCTAAGCCTATCGCTCCTGTATGGCAGCCCTCAGCTACAGCCTCAGTTCTTGCTGGGTTCTATCAACTGCTCATTCAGTTAGTAGTAGTAGTAGTAGCTTCCTGCTTTTGCCAGCCCTTGGGGACATCTTTCTAAATAGCCTCCACTAACATCTCTTCACTTCTGCCTTTTCAGTGTGGCATATAAGTCCTGCTGGGGACCTTAAGCCATCTGGTCCTATAGTACCCAAAGCATTGCACTGCACTGTGATTGTCTTTTCACATATCTGTCTTACCTTGTGGATTGTATGTTCTTTAGAGGGTGAGGACTATTTATATTCTCTTATATCTTAGCCTCATACAGAGTAATGATAGGGGCTCTTGAGGAAAGAATGAAAGAAGAAATATATGAATAAACACAGTGTTGCCTTGGTTCACAAACGTAATTTGTTTAATAATTTTGGGAAAGATGGCTGTGGTTGTGTTTGCTACCCATTGTAGAATTTGCAAGCAAAACCAAATGCTTCTGTTTTTGAGCCAAACTGTTTGCAAACAAAAACACTGTGAACCAAGGGCCATTTATTTTGATCATTATATACCCTTCTCTATACATCCTATAGGATTATGACAATTAAGATCACCAGAAAGAAAGCCAGGTATGGTGGCTAATGCCTGTAATCCCAGCACTCAGGAGGCTGAGGCAGGAGGATCGCTGTGAGTTCAAGACCAGCCTGGGCTACATAGTGAGTTCCAGGTCAGTCTCAATTACATAGTGAGACCATCTCAAAAAACAAAAAAAGATCATGAGAAAGACTCTACAGCTCCCCAAGATATGCAGAATTAAATCATGTGGGTATTTTAGTTTAATACAAAAGTGCCTGTCCAGGCAGTGTGGTAAACACGCTTGACTTTTGGCTAATCTACCTGGAGTAGAAAGAGGCCCTGCAGGGTGGAGTATGGGTAGTAAAGTAAAATTAGATAGTTAGTACTTTGCTTTTCTGTTGACTTATCTGGTAACTACCTTGGAGTGTATGTGGGAATTGGACTCAGACAGGCTCTTTGACAAAACTTGGGCAAACTAGTGACTCGGGGGTCCCAGGGATAATTTTCTCTGCAACTCCATTTCCTCATCTGTATATTGACATTGGAATAGATGACTTCTAGTGGTCTTTTTGACACTGGTCCTCTAGGAGTCATGTAGATCTAGCCTTCTACGTACCCTGTCCTCCTTTATCTGTCAGCTCATGTGGTCAGAGAGGTTGGTTCCACCTCTGACATCCTGGGTGGGCATGTGTCCCTGTCCCTGAAAAAGGCCTTAAGGTTCCCCTGGAAAATGCAGTGATTCAGGGACACAACATGAGCCTGTCCAAAGATCGTGCTCCATCTCTTTCAGCTGTGATGCTAGGCTCAGGTATGAGCGCATGACCTCCTGGATGGTTCAGTTCATGTCATTCCTGGGACTTCTATCTGAAAGAAGGGATGCTTGTTTATGCTAGGGCTGATCAAGGGGACAAGGTATAATCTAAGAGCTGTTGGCAACTGTCCTGGCACCAGTGGAAAATGTGCTGAACAATGGAGCCAACACTGAAGAAAACAGAAAGGAGGGAAAAGAGAACCAGATTAGTTTCTAAAGACATTCATGAGCCCCTGGCTACAGCCATGGCTGGAACCAGTTACTGGTTTAATCCTTAGTAACCAGAGCCAACAAATTCCATTCTCCATTTGTTCATCCAACTTAAGGTAGACTGAGATGTGGTCTGTATTACTTGTGACCAAAGGAGTCCGGACCTACAAAGAAACTCCACCATTCCTTTCAATTTTAAGACAGATACAGAAGGCTATACATAGTATATGATTTCATGTAGAAGAAATTTCCAAAAGGGGTGAATCTATGCAGGTATAAAGTAGACCAGTGGTTTCTAGGGCCTGGGAGAGGAGGAAATGTGTAGCGACCTCAAAGGTTACCACATCTTTTGGAATGATAAAAATGTTTTGGAATTAGATATGGTGATGTTTGCACAACTCTGTGAATATACTAAAACCACTAAATTTTTATACTTTAAAATTGTGAGTTATATGGTGAGTTGTATTTCAATTTTAAAAAGCAGAAAAATTTCCATTATTGTCTTAGAGATGATTCACTCTAGGAGAATGAATGGAAACACTTTTTTCTTAAGTATTGGAGACTTAATCCAGGGTATCCACACTAAACTACACAGCCAACACTTTTTTGTTTTTAATTTTGAGACAGGGCCTTACCAATTTGCTAAGTTTGCCCAGGCAAGCAATCCTCCTGTCTCAGCCTCCCAGAGTGCTGGGATTATAGGCATGTGTCACATCAGTTGAATGAAAGCACTTCATTTCCCTCACTTCCTTGCCATAAGGAATGGAAGTTACTAAAGCAAATACTGCAGAACTGGGAAGCCTTTATTTCAGGGAAATCCAAAGTTAGTGGAACACAAAGGAAAGGAATGCTATTATAACCTGGTATAACAGAAGAAACATCACCTAGTTTTGGTTTCCACCTACAAATACAAACTCGGTATTTAAATGACATGATAAGCACAAAATTATAGTTCACTGGGGCCTGGCTCCCTCATTTAATCTGGAAACTAGGAGACGGCCAGGAGCAACTTCCTTGGAGTTGTAGCATCCCTCTCAACACAGAGCTTCGTCGTTTCATTTACCAGACGACCAGGAATCATATACCAGTTTGGCTGCAACCATGTCTTCCACTGCCATCCCTGGAAAGGACAGAAATTTGGTTCACCTTTTGTCAGAACAACTTATTCCTGATACAGACCAGGCCCTGTGGCTGGCAGTTCTTGGATACACAGCATGTACTGCTACTGCCCGTCAGAGCACTTGCTACCTAGAGGAGTGAGCTTAGGCGTGTGTGGCCTGCAAAGAGCAGATTACAACATAGAATATGTTGCTAAGCAAGAAATGCCCAAATCTTATGTCATTTAAGGTCTAATTTAGTGGGTCAGAACAGTGTAAGGTCAGGCAGTAAGTGTTTTAGGCTGTGTGGGCAACGTGGTCTCGGTCTCAATTACTACTCATCTTTGTCCTTACACTGGAAAACCAGCCACAGATGACACGAAAACAGATGAGCCTGCCTGTGTTCCAATAAGAAATTATTTATGGACAGTAAAGTTTGAATTTCATATCATTTGAGTGTGTCATGAAGTTTCTTTTGGTTTTTTTCCTAATCATCCAAAAATATAAACAGCATTTCTAACTCACGGGTTACACAAAAATAAGGCTGGTGGGTAGGTTTGGCCCATAGACCGTCGTCAGCAGACCCTCGGTCTAGCAGCAACACTGCATCCTTAGCATTTCCCTCTTGTCCTCTAGGTTGATTACACCAATCTGAAAATCTGAAACCCAAAGTGGTTTGAAATCTAAAATGCTTGCAGGGTCAGGGTGGCATTGCAATTTTGGGGCATTTCGAACTTTCAGATTAAGAATGCTCCACCTGTAAAATTCTATGCAAATGTTTCAAGATTGGAAACATTTCTGGTCTCAAGCATTTTGGGTAAGGGGCATTCACCCTACAACTTTGGATAGCACCTTAATCTTTGCACCCAGCACAGATACACACAGATGCTTAATGTGCATCTGTTAGTGAAAAGGATCTGCCAACAAACGAATCTCCAAAACGATAATCAAAAATTGCTCCAAAGCAGACAGCAGGTTTCTGCAGTGTCGTGCCTCCTAAGGAAGCTGGTTGACCTCTGGTCTGTTACGAACTCTGAAACTTCCAGACATAACTATCAGTGGGTGTCACTAGCCAGGCTGTGGATAAAGTTTATACTATGTTCACCTCTCTTCTAGTGCTTGAGAAACTTAGAAATATTTAACAACCAGCAAGGCGTGGATAATGACCAATGCGTGAGTGGACAGACACTTCATGCCCTGCCTAGAGTTAGAGCTTTCATTGATTGATCATGAAGAAGTATGGAAGGTCTTGAGAGAGGAGCAGAGTGCACTCTTGAGGGACTCAGAGGGACAGCCCCTGACCAAGCAGTGTGGGAATATTTCAGTCTTGTTGGCGTATCAGCTGTTTATTAGGTCTGCTCCCATGTGCTTCTTTTTCCTTAATCTTGTAGACTGGAAGAGCTGAGCCATGCGATGAACTGGCCACTGGGAGCTCACCCTTACCCACCTCTGAAGGATATCTCCTTCTGAGTTTCATTTATGTCTAACTCTAAATCATTTACTGCTGACACTTGCTATGTGAAAATCATTTTTCATGCATTTTTGACTTAATCCTCACAACTCAAGGTAACAGACAAGTGGCAAAGAAACTGTCCAAGGACACACATTGAGGACACAGCAGAGAAGGTACTCTAACCCAGGACCGTCCAATTCCAGCGTGTGGGGGCTTAATCACGATGCTAAGACATGTAAATCATTGACATGGTGACTCATTCCTTTTTCTAACTGGTAAACCTGCCTTGTGCTTTGGTTGGATTTGTGCCTGGGGATCTTACCCAGAGACTTGAATACCGTGGTCTTCTCACAGTGGGCTGGCTTCACTCCCTTTATCACTTCTCCCAGCTCAGCAAAGATCTCAGCCTATGAAACAAAGGCACACTGACGCAGGTCTGAAGCAAAGTCTGCTCAGGGTTGGCTTTTGAAGCCAACATGGAGTATAACAGAAATCGATAAGGGTCAAACTTGGGAAAAAAAAAAAAAGACCTGGATGATATCAGGAGGATGCTGCCTCCCGAAGTCCTTTTTGGCTAGCATCTACCTTTTTGATGGCATGTATGCAGAGAGAGATCCAAGTTTGTACTTAGGGGCTGTGTCAGTGATAAAATAGACATATTCTCATCTGAGTGGCAACTTTTAGAAGTTCCATTCTTGCTTCTGCGCTGATTACAAGGGGAAAAGGCAGCCCAGGAGGCCAGCAACAGTCCTATTGTGCTGGCCACGTGGGAAGGTTTTCCAGCTGCTGCAGGTTCCCTCCCATGTCCCAACCCGGCTGCCTCCTAGCACAGCATAACGGCAAAATCCTCTCAGCTTCTCCTTCCAGGTAGAGGGGACAGAAAAAAAAAAAATGCACATCACTGCCAAAATGACCACACTTTTCTGTGACAGCAGAAAAAAGGATTGGAGGGGGTTTGGCAGCTCCTTTCCCAGCAGGAGGTGGGATGTCTGAGGTCTGGCAGGGGATGGACTGCAGGGGAAGTCGGTGACACCCTGGGCTGCAGTGGGGCCAGCCAGGCACTCACCCCTGACAACAGCACGTCTCCTGACTCCTTCAGCGCAGCCTCTCTGGAATCCACGTACAGCACTGCCTGCTTCATGAGCTCGTCATCCAGTTCTCGCCAGTCGGGTCTGCTGGCTCCAACCGCTACAAGACAGCAAAACTGACCCTCAGCCCAGGACAGTCCCAAGGGATACCAGTAGGGACAGGACAGGGTGAAAGGCCACGTGGGAATAATTAGACTGGGAACGCCAAGTCTTTTCCCAAAGTCCCACCCCACGTGAGAGACTGAAGGCTCATTAAAAAGTAATACCATTTTTTCCTTTCTGTTTCATATCCTACCTCATTCCTAAGAGATTTTGAGGTCACTTAGTATCATGTATTGGATACTTACAATACTGTGAGATGTCTTACTTATATTATGTGTGGCCCTCACCAGCATATTTCAGTGTCTGAGTCAATTCCCAACCGACAGGTGCACAAATTGAGGCTTGAGAAGGCGAGGCACCTGCTAAGGTTATGTAAACACCAGTGAATCTGTGTCTGAGAAAGTGCCCTGGCTTTCACTTAGGCGCTTCTGCTGCTTACTGGGGGCTGCGTTCATACGAAAACCCTGAGACACACACACCACTCGGAGAATATTTACGCCCCACACTCTTCGCCCTCTGTCTGTCTGCTTGTCCCGCGATCAGCCCATCCCTTAAACTCGTGACCAGAGAGCCCAGGGTCATGGTCACAGAGAAGCCCCCGAGAAAAAGAAAGCTGGCCCCTTGCTGGCCTTGAGCATTCACATCCTCCGCAGAGCCCGCAGCTGAAACAATCGAGCCATTGCGTCACACCGCCCGCCACGAGGACAGAGGAAAATGCAGCCAGAAGCCGGCCAAAGTCTGCAGAGCCAGGCAGGTAATGAAAAGTAGCAAGGCCCAAGGACAGAGAGATTGGAAATGGTGGCGACCTTGGTGCCCAGGAGAAATCGGGCCCTTGGCACAGTCTGGACTAACCAGTACCGTGTGAATACACATCCACGGTTACCAGATATTCCCATGGGGGTGGGGGGAATCTACTTGCATGTGTTATGTTTTGATTTCTCTGTGGTCCCAACAAAATAAATGTGCTGGCTGGATCCAGCTGGCGGCAGCTGGTCAAAGCCGTACCCAAACACAAGGCAGCATTTGTATGCCTTCTTGCTCCGCCATCCACCTTTCTCTACTTCTTCCTTCTCCCTCACACTCATTTGCAAAGAGTTTAAGAACGTCTATCTGGAAGGCTGCTTGCGTGAGGAATTCTACAGAACAAAAGCGGAAGCTTGTAAATTAATCGTCAGCGGGTGGGAAAGAAACCCGGTTCCTGAAGCCGCCCTTCCTCCTCGCTCCCCACCCCAGCCACTGGTTCTCAAAGGGCTGTGTGAGGCTACTCAGGAGGATGGAGGTGAGCGAGGGAGCAAGGGAGGGGCCCGGCTCAGACAGGGCTCCAGCTCCCTTCAGGGGTGCAAGAGAGTGAGGTTTAAGGCCGGGGATGGGGGGGTCGACAGGGATGAAGTGTGAGGGAGGCTGCTGGAATCTGCCTTGCCTCTTGGCTGACTGTAAACCAAAAAAGAAAAAAAATCGGTTTCTTGGTGTTTTCGTGTTGTCTGTGCCTGTGACATGCTTTTCTTAAGTGTATCTGACACCTCTGAGGACACATAAAGCAATTTTGTCCCGAGGCCAGGGAAACAGAAGATGTATGATTCAAAACTACGTCAAATTTCTGGAGATCTAAAGTATGTGAGAGGATCTAATGTGAGGGATTCTTTCTTGTTGGCTTTGCGGATGGAGGGGCCGAAGGGCAAGAAAGGTGAAAAGTTCCTAGGAGCTGAGGGCTGCCCTGAGGAAATGGGGTCCTCTGTCCTAAACATAAGGAACTGAGTCCAGCTACATCCTGGTGAGCCCGGAACAGGCTCCTGAACACCAGCTGGGACTCAGCTGGGGACACCGGGCTCTTCCCTGTGAGACTGAGTGGAGGCCCTGGGCCACACTTCCAACCATACAACCTGCAAGATGATGATATATTGTTTTAAGCTGGAAAAAGAAATCAATTCAGTCTTGCTGAGGATTCACCTCTGTCCCTAGGAACCCACTTCACGAGGAACCGATTCCTCTTGATTTCCCAAGACCTTCCAGAAACAGTTTTGATGTCCAAAAACCAAGCTCCAACGGACATCATAACACCAGTCTCTGGCAGGTTAAGATGTTCAGTTTACTTTGGCCCATTCCTCAAACAGGTCATGTTCATTCCATCCCCAGGGCCTCTGCATTTGCTGGTCTGTCTGCCTGGAATGCCTCTGCTCCAGCTCTTGGCACGGCTGGCTCTTCCTTCACAGGCTTAGCTTTAGCAGAAACTCTCACTTTGTTGTTTTTCTTCTGTCACTAAAATGTAGCCACCACTAACTTGACTGCCCAGTTTATCGTGGACAACACATGGCGCACGGTTGAGGTTCCATAAACATTTGAGTGAATGTATAATCACTTGGCGTGGCCTCTGCTTACTCACCTGCGCATGTGCACACAACTCTTAGCTTCAGAGTCCACACCATGTGCTTGTCACCAAAACACTGGATATTGGTGCCATCTTCAAATCCTCTAGTCTTTGCCTGCTCTGCTCACCAAAGCCAGTCTTGTTATAGGAAGATAATATCCAGTAATGCTCAAGAGCCTGGACTCTGAGGACAGACTGCCTTCACTGTAATCCCAGCTCTGACACCAAGAACCTCTGGCTTTGGGGAAGCTACTTAATCTCTCCATGCTTTGGTTTACCCATCTATAAAATAGGCGTCATGAAAGCCGTGCTAGGAGGCGCAAGCCTATAATGCCAGCACTTCGGGAGGCTGAGGCAGGAGGATTGCTGTGAGTTCAAGACCAGTCTGGGCTACATAGTGAGTTCCAGGTCAGTCTCAACTACATAGTGAGACCCTGTCTCAAAATACCAAAAAAAGGAGGGGGATGGGGAGGGGTCATGATAAGTAAGGTTCCTACATCACAAGGTCTTTATAAGGATTAAATGGCATAATACATCTTGGAAATTTAGAATAGTACTTGAAATAGAAGTACCTCTTCTTGCTGTAAGCCCCTGAGGCCATTTAGAAATCTTCTGAGGCCCCAGTACACTTGTGTTTAGAGTCCCTACTCCTCTTCCATCCTAGCACACGTATTTAAAAGCATGCACATATCACACTGTCTTTTGTACTGTGATTTTTTGGGAAAAGTTTTATAGTTCCAAGTTTTAAAAGCAAATGACTCATTAGGCTTTTGGTATCTAAGCTTCATCTCACCTAAGAATGGAGCTGTGATTGGTACACTTTATAGAAATTTTTATCAGTTTCAGATTTGTAATTTCCTTGTCATATTTTGGGCTGCAGTTGTTCAGAAATCACATGTTTCTGAGGCCTTTACAAAGCTTGAAATTCTGCATAATGAGGAAACCAAGTGTGCAGGTCTGCAACAGGCCTGCATCCGTTGAGTCTAGAGAGGAGTCTAGCCACCACACACCCATGGCTCTAGGAGCCTCCCTACTTACCATTAATGTGGGCCCCTGGTTTCACCCATTCACCAAATAAAATGGGCTCCGTGGCCATGGTGACCGTGATGATCACGTCAGCACCTGTCACAGCCTCTTGCACTGATGAACAGACCCGTACCTCTCCTTGCACTGTGTTCGCAAACTTCTCTGCATTTTCCATGGTGCGGTTCCATATCCTCACCTTCCATGGGGACAATAAGAGGGACATTCATGCCATTTGGGGGGCTATTTAAGTTACACTGAGCCTGGGGTGCCAAAGGAAAGTTGAACTATTCTGGGATAGGGTCTGTGGTTATCTCAGTCACTCCCTATGGAGAACTGATATTAATCTGGAAACCTTGCCAGATGATTGAAAATGATATTTTCTCCAATCTCTCCTTTAAGAAGGAGGGACTTTGGGCTGGGGATTTAGCTCAATAGTTCTGCTGCCTGCCTCACAATCTCAGGGTCCTGAGTTCAACCCCTGGTACTAAAAACAAAAAAGAAGGAGGGACTTTTTTTTATGTTTAGGCCAGGACACATAGCCCCAGTGACTTAGTAGCCACGATACAAATTAGTGATTAGCAGAGCAAGTTCTTCAGCCAGGCAAACTTGGAACCAAGCTTTGCTTTTTCATTTACTGCTCCTGAAATGACCTCACCTCTTTAGCCTTAATTTTCAAATTTGCAAAATGGAAAGACAACTGGGTGAAGTCAGCAGTGAATTCATACTTTATGTTTCAGATTCTGCAAAGACGTCTTGGTCCAGGGTTATAGCTCAGTGATAGAGTATTTGTCTAGCATGCATGAGGCTCTGTGTTTTGATTTCCAGCATCACAGGAAAAGGAAAAGAAGTCATTGTCATTGTGGGTACAATGATCACAGGAAGGATTATTCATAGCAATGATTTGCATGGTGAATGTAATTGTGATCTATTAATTGTGATCTATAGTTGGGAATATAGTTGATCTCTGGAGGGTAGGTAAGGGTTCAAGATCAAAAGCATTTGAAGGTGAATGATATGATAAATGAAAAGGCCAAGAGTGGACACTGGGGTAGGAGTGGAGGGTTGTCATCTGCATTACCAGGATGGGGGACTTGCTAGCTTATTCACAGGTTTCGAAGTTTAGATTGGGGGGTGTCATTTTATTTATTTATTTATTTTCTCCGGTACCGGGGAATGAACTCAGGACCTTGCACTTTCAAGGCAGGCACATTTCCACTGAGCTAAATCCCTGGCAGGTTGTCAGTTTTAAACTGAAAATGAGGTCCAAAGAAGCCCTCCTAAGGAAATATAAACATATAGAAAGTTCAACAGCTAAGAGAAAACTGATACCTTATGCCCAGACATAAGTGACTGGCTAACCATGCTGCATTTCTTAATAGGAAACTATTATTGTATGTTAGGAAATGTTTTGTAAAAATTAGATAATCTGGAAAAGTCATGTTAGAACATTTTTAAAAATTGGGATATACAATTGTGCATATCTAATGTGATCAAACCTATGGTATAAAAAACCATTGAGAGGAGACTGAAAAGCATTAACTGGCTGGCGATTTAGCTCAGTGGTTCTGCCACCTGCCTTGCAAGCACAAGGACCCGAGTTCGATCCCTGGTACAAGGAAAAAACACATACACAAACACACAACTAAACATTAATTGCTGTCTTTGAAAATAGATAAAAGAGTATTTTGTTTCTTCCTTGTAGTCTACATTTCCCAAAGCAGAGATATTATTTTATCATAAAAATTTAAATGTTAAATCTGTTCCACCACACTTCTACACATACAGAAAATAAAAAGAGCACTGAATATTCTGAGTAGGAAGCATCGAGCCTTGACTGGAGGAAGATGGGCCGATATGTGAATTGCAGAAGGGGCTGCTGTGGCCTCTTGCTTCCTGGATGCATGGCCCTGAATACCAAAAGCCCCCAGATTCTCTCAAGAGAAGCAGAGAAAAGGGCTAAAAGGATGACTCTTAGGCAGTAGATAAAATAGCATCCTTTAATGAATGAGCAGAATTGCTGTGTCCTTAGGCACAAGCCCTGTAAGCTGAGGAACTGGGAAGGTGTAGTCAGACTTCCTTCCGGCTCTTCAGGCCTCCAGTGGGGCTTGTAGGAAACTCACTGAGGTACAGAATTGGCTAGGTGGGATTCTTTACCGAACTCTTTCAGTGAAGGAGGACAGAGGTCACGGCCTTCTCTTCCCTCTCCTCTCTTCTAAGCCCCAGACCCCTACTCACCTCCTTGAAGGAGAACTGCTCTGTGAAGACCTCATAATGGCTATAGGCCTGGACACCAGCCCCAAGGATGCACAGCACATCGCTGCCAGGAGGTTTCAAAAACTATTTGAGAGAAACAAGGGAGAAAACATTAAGGGAGACACTGGCCACAAACACTGTACAGTTTAAAGATCAGGTGGCTTCTGCCACCACTTCAGCTCCCGCGAGGGCTTGTGGGTAACCAAGGAGATGGTACTGTGTCTCAGTTTCCCCTCTGTAGAGTGGGAAGGGAAAGAAAGTGGCTCCACTGAGCACCTAATATATGCCAATGCCTTACCTTCATGATCTCATTTCCCCTGGACAGGGACCCTGGGAACTGGAGATTCCTATTATTATCCTCTTTCTACCGATAAGGAGATTATGGTCCAGAGAGACTAATTTCTCACAGCTCAGCGACTACAGTACAGTACTAAATATCCCAGGAGAACTCCAAAATCGTTCTGTAACCCACACCTGTGTCCTTTCTGCCATGCTACATCATATCAGGTGTGTGCTAAGCAACTCCTACTTTTCAGAGCCCTGAGCTTCTAGGAGCCCCCTGGAATCCTTGAACTCTTGCAATATTTTCTGGGTCCACTCTTTTCTGATTCTTTCACTTCCTTGAAAGATAAATATAGAACTGGCTTTTGTGATACCTCCTAAGGGTGTATGTGTGCCTGCTTCAGAGTAGGTTGCTGTGATCAACTTCTACCAAATGTCACCTCTCTGGTGAAGTCGTTTGGGCCTCCCCAATAGAATTCGCCTCTCCCCAGCACTTATTTATAGATTTCTTTTCTTTTTTTTTTTTTCCTTATTGAGTTTATTGGTACATTTTAGGTATACAGTACAGTGACATTCATCATTGGGATCTTGTACCTTTACATGACAGGTCTTGGTTCTCATTTCTTCCCCTGGCCTCTGCCCTCCCTTCACCCCCCTCCTCCCTTCCCTATTTACAAATACTTTATTTTCATTTTCTCATATATTTTTTTAGATTTATTTTCTTGTACTGGTCTTTAAGCCCCTGAGCACCAAGGCAGTCTTATCTGCATAGAAATAGTGTGTGTCTATTACAAACCACACGAAGTAGACGAGGGTTTCTCAATCTTGGCATCACTGAAATATGAGCTGGCTCATTCTTTGTTGGAGGCAGGGAGGGCTGTCCTGTTCAGTATAGAACACATAATAGCATCCCTGGTTTCTGTCCATTTGATACCAGTAGCAGTGGTAGTGGTCAAAAATATCTCCAAATGCCTGCCTCGCAAGCGCAAGGACCCCAGTTCGATCCCTGGCACCAAAAATAAATAAACAAACAAACAAATAAAAGTCTCCAAACATTGTTAAATGTTTCTGGAGTAGGTTGGAAAACCATGCTTGGCTGTGAACAATGAAAAGAGAAAGACATCACTTGCCTCTCAGAAAATATATATTAAGTAACCGCATTTTCTCTATTTCATCTAGTAAAATTTTAGCTCTTTATATCTCTGTTGCTTTTCCTTTCTTTTTCAGTTCTGGGAATTGAACTCAGGACCTTTGTGTTGAGCAACATCCCTTGCCATTTTTTTAAAATTTATTTTTAGACAGACTCTCACCAAGTTGTGAAGTAGCCCGGGCTGTACTTACATGCACTTGCAATCTTCCTGTCTCAGCCTCCCAGAGTGCTTGAATTACAGATACGCACTGCCTGGCATTAACTATTAATTACTACCCTCCAAAAAAGAGTCTGAGAATATTAGGTGATGTTCTTAGCTGCAGAGAGATAGAATTCTTTACCACAAAATACAGTTCAAAGACTGACTTGAAAGTTTTCAAAGTGACAATATCTACAAGCAATGTTATGCTCTTTTGCAGTGGATTGACTTTTATTTATCAGTTCTGTTTTATTTATGTTCTCATTTAATATTGAGCCAATTCTTGGAAGTGTACTTGAGCTTAAGAAATTATTAGTGTCTATAAAAGTAACCTTCAGCCTCAGACTAAATCTGTAATTGTGATTGGTTGCCTTATTTTATAATTTGAGTCTCTGATGATTGACATCTCTCCTCTTAAATGGGATAAACATCTGTAAGAGTTATTAAATCATGATAGGCATCCTGGTCCTTCATTCTTTTCTCATAAGCATGTGGGTAATTCAGAGCACGAATAGGAATCTGCCAGGTTTCTCATTTAGACAAAGAGATTGAAAATCTGTTTCACTTGTCTTCACCAAGGCCTCACTGACCTGGCCTTCTCAAGTATCCAGGCCACATGCACTTCCTGTCTTCCAGCGCTAAGCCCATGTGCCTTCTTCAACCACCAGGCCTTTGCACAGCTTCTTTCCACTGCCTGGAATGATTTCCTTCTCCTTCTTATGAGCAATTCCTATTCATCAGTTTTCAGCTCAAGTATCTATCACGCAGGAAAAGCCTTCCTGAATCTGATAGATTAGATTCGGATCTCACGGCACTTATCAGTGTTGTAACTCATATTTCCTTGTGTGATCTTTGGATGGATGTCTTGTCTCCTGCACTGAACTCTGTGCTCCGTGATGACAGGCAGTGTGCTCACCACTCTGCCTCACCCTAAGCACAGGGGCCTGGCATCTGGTACCATTTAAATATTTCATGTGAATATTAGTTCAATAAATGCACGATTGGGATAATACAAATAAACGTTATCACCTTGAGTAGGCATGACAGAGTCCCCAACTAAGGTTATATGAAAGCTAAACACAAAGAAGGTATTCTGGCCCACAGACCCCAGAGTCCCCAGTACTTCTTACATTTCTCCCCAAAGGCCCAAATGAAAGAGAAGTAGTAGACATGAAAACACGCTCCTTTCAACAGACCCTTTGTTCCGTATTGGAATAGCCCATATGAGGTGCTGGAAATAAAGCTGAGTTTCAGCCTAAACTTCAAAGTGTGAAGCACAGATTTTCCAATGATGTAACCAAACACAGGGCTTCCAAGGGTTGAGTCTACAATATCCTGATTCCCAAACCTAACTGATCATCAGAAGAAAATAAAAAAATATAAAAGTAACTTTCCTGTGCCCACCACATAGCAATTTTGAGTCAATCATTCTGGGAATCTGATTTAAAACCATTTACAGGTGATGCTGCTGAATAGATTTAGTTGGACACCACCAATCTGAGACTTCTTGGAAGACTGTGTAGTCTTAAAAGACCCCAGAGGTACTTGGGTATTCAAGAGGTGATCACAATATACAGTGGGTGTTTTCATAAATTCATTTTATTACAGTAAGACACATTGCTATTAGTTCTCCTGAAAATACCCGCCGCCCTTACTGTGAACACACTTATCCCATTATTTGTGTCACTTGCTGAAGCAGTTTTGGAAATCTTCTTTTCATGTCTTTGTTGGATGTGATTTAAAAAAAAAAAATACAGTGAATGCTGCTGCTGAGTCCCATCCGATGCAAAAACAAGCTCCTTATCCACCTAATGCAGTGGATCTGCTACCATGCAACTTGTGCCTCTTCCCCAAAGTCAAAATGACCAGGAAAGGTAAGTACTTCGAATCACTTCAGAACAGTGAGGCAGTGATGACCATGGAACCAAAGACACAAAAGAGGTCTTCCAGCACTGCTTCAGAGAGTGGCATGAATAACGGAGCAAGTGTGTTTAAAGCAAGAAGGAATATTTGGAGGGAAATTAATGGCAATGAGTCTTTTACTGTAATCATTTTTTTTAATTTAAGCACACACATTGTATTTTTTTTTTAATCCTTCAGGAAACCCTCCATTTCATTCTGTGTAAAATGAGTTCAGTAATACTTGCTCTGCCTTCCTCACAAAAACTCAAAGCCCAGGCAATGAGTTGGAGATTGTTTTGAAAAAGACCAGAGCTCTTTACAAATGCAGGTAATATAAGACTCATTCTGTTTCTAAATCTCTGGCAAACACGTCTTAAGAAGTTATTTCAATCTGAGTTGGCTCCAGATATAGTTAAAACAAGCTCATCGAGGTACACACCATAATCTGATATGTAATTATCACATTAGTCCTTCTATCCTCCCCTCCACATCATAAATTCAGGAAGCATTAACATGCAACCCGAATACCTGGTCTTGGCTGCTCTAAGCCTGCACTGCGAGACCACACTTCTAAATGCTAGGAAACCAGCATCCTACGACCTTGTCCCCCAGTCAACGGGAAACATTCCAGACTCCAGTTGTTCCCACAGACAACGCATTTCCTACGCTTAACTCCAACCTCGATGAATACAGGGTTTTTCTGGGGGATGCCCCAGATTTCTTAGAAACATTGTCACTCCCATCACTTGCCGGCCTGACCAGAGATTCCTCCATATTTTCTCATGGTTCACTCCACGCTTTCAGGACTTACTCAAAAGTCACCTTCTGAGTGAGGTCTTTTCCTGGATAATTTAAAATACCACCCCCTGCCCAATACTCTTGATTCTGCATCATTTTCATCTCTGTAACGTACCATGTGGGGCTTTGAGGTTATTGATTTTATTTTTTTAATTTTTATTGTATTTATTTACTTATTTTGGTACCAGGGATCAAACTCGGGTCCTTGCGCTTGTGAGGTAGGTGGCAGAACCACTGAGCTAGTTGATTTTATTTTTAAGCAAACTCTAAGCACACTGTATTAATGAACAAATATTAATTATTCAATAGTGAAATATTTATCATTATTATTATGTAACATTATTAAGCACAAAAGACCTTTTTTTGTTTGTCTTTTAAGCAAATCATATTGTTTCACTTTTTAATTTCATTGTCTGTATCACCTATGCGCACTACTCTGTTTTGTTCATTGCTGCATTCTCAAAAATTAGAACACCTGGACACTTAGGAGGCACTTGGTCAACACTGGTTGAATAAATACAAGTATGGCATGAATCTCTTCTGCTGTCCCTCTTCCTCTTGCGTAGTGTTGGCTCTGGCTCTCCAGGCAAGCACACTGACTGGGCAGTGCTAATGTGGTACTGGGTTGAGGATGCAGCAGTTAGACTTGAAGAGCACAAATTCCTGCTCTATCATTTCTTAGCTGTGTGATCTGGGCAACTCAATAACCACTCTGGGCCATAATGCTTCTTTCTGACCACTGGAGACAATCACGTGCACCCTGCAAAGTCGATGGGAGGGTTGGGAGTTATGCCTGTGAGGTATCTGGTGTCTGGCTGTCCGCATGAAATGGTAGCTAATTATTTCATGAATCACCATGCTTATCTGTCTCATATTTTGTATGTAGAGTTCCAGCTATGACCAAACGAAGTCCAGAATACATTCCTGTTCTCTTAGTCCGTCAAGATTGAAACACCTAACCCCACCAACCCCCTTGCCTCAAACCACAGCCTGCCAATACTCTTACCTTGGTGGCAATGGCAGATACTGCAGCTGTTCTCTTGGCAGTTATGACATTTCCATCCATGACCTTGGAGGAAGGAGAGACAGTGAGCACAGGTCAACTCTATCCATTACTTAGACTGAGGAAGCAATTCTAAAACAGTAGCCTTAGGAAACTGCACGGTATTCTACGGAGAGCATGCCTTGGTGCAGACTTGGGTCAAGTTCCTCCACTTAAGAGATGCGCAATTTTAAACAAACCATTTAATCTCTAAGCACAGGTTTCCTCATCTGTAAAATCACAAATAAGGCCAGTCATTCATAGGATTACTGAGAATATTAAATACAATGGCATATGGGAAAACATCTAGCACCTGGTGAGTTCTCAAGAATTGCCTATTTGGGGCCAGGGATTTAGCTCAGTGGTTCTGCTGCCTGCCTCACAAGTGCAAGGACCTGAATTCAATCCCCAGTACCCCCCCCAAAAAAAAGAGTTGCCTATTTTTATTGCTTGCTCTGAGATTCTCAAAACACCAAATTAAGGAAGAATTTGAGGGATAAGTTTGTCATTTCGGGCAAGAGACTGAAACTACACCTCAGTGGTAGTGGGGAGCTTTGCAAAGGCACTATTCCCGTGTATACCTTCAGATTTACTGAATCTGAATCTTGGGCTAGAGGCGTAGCTCAGTGGCAGAGCACACGGCTAGCATTCATGAGGCCCTAGCTTCAATCCCTAATGCCACACAAACACAAAACCAAAAAAAAACAAATTACTGAGTCTCTAGGGGCAAGACCCAGACATCCTTGTTTTTGAAAGCTCCCCAGGTGGTTCTGATGCACAGTAAGAGCTGAGAATTATGCCTAGTTAATAATAACAACCACCCTTTATACTGATCTCCATTTTAAAATTATTGTTCTCAATCAACCCTCACAAAGTGGGCATCGTTGTTCTCATTTTACAATAAGGAGCTACTAAGAAGGTGAAGTAAGGATCTTGGGCCCTGTCACAGTGCTTCAGAGGTCCACTCCTCACTTCACTGGGAACCATTGTTGTAAATAGCACAGATATCAACACCACTGGGTTTGCAAGAGTACGATCCTCTTCTCAGAGGAATGATGAACAGCCAGATTTCATGGGGAAAGAGAAAAACTCAGGGGAGAAGGAAATTCTAAGAGATGACTTGGAAGACACGTAAAAGCGTAAGCTCCAGTCACCTAGACCTAGGAGTGGTTGCTGAGTCTCCCTACCTAGTTGTGTGACCACTTGCAAAGTGGCTCTACTAATCTGAGCCACAGGGACCACAAAAAAATTGGGGGAGAGAGATGACAAAAAATCCCATGGAGGAATTAGTCAGGACTGAATGTGATCAATCTTCTGTCTAGCAGATGATAAACGTGCAATACATGGTAGGTTAAAAAGCAGGACAGCACCAAGTTTGATCCCTGGTACCAAAAAAAACAGGAAAGCACAGACTTTGGATAGGACACAGGCTTAGGCTGGGGAGGTCTGAAGTCCAGCTGTGATGCATATTAGCTGCACAGATCTGGATGAGTTGGGAACCGTTGGATTCGGTTTCCTATTTGTAAAGCGGGGGTACTAGTATACCTACCTCGTAGGTCGTTTTAATTCTGAAGAGGAATCATACGTGTTATGTGTTTAGAATAGTGTGGGACACATAAAAAACAATAAATGTAAGTCACTGCTACTTTTTGATGCTATAATTAAATGTTGAAACAGCTCACTGTACATCCTTCAGAAAAGATCTCACAGAGGAGATAACACACTTTCCATGATGACAAGGATTCAGTAAATAAATCTCTCCCCAGGTTGCGGTTTAGTTAACCTATGTGTTCGGGGTATCTGAGCATATGATGAGAACATATACAAAAATGATGAGATTATTTCCACACAGACACGCCCCGGGAGGAGGAGGAGGAGGCTCAGGTGCAACCTCAGGCAAATCTCAGAAATAGACACACTGTCACGGTAAGCGTCCCTGTCTCTACTATCCAGTCACCCGTACAGGGGCATTTACGGTCACACACACACACACACACCCGCAGAACCAAGAACTTCTGGGCCTCCCACCATAGGGAGTTGCTCACCGCCAGCAGGGAGCCATTGCTGGGCTCAAACAGTAACACAGCAGCCTGGTGGGAGGGGACGGTTGAGCTGGTGCTGTGGCCCTCGTAGAAGGTGACCAGCTTGGTGGTCAGGGCATCCTCTGCTGCACTGTAGACAGGCATGACGCCCAGGAAGCTGCGAGGAGAGAGGGAGCCGGTCCAACCCCTTCCCATCACCTTGGGCTGTCCCAGAGAGTCCTCCTGGCCTTTCCCGTGTTCTCCAGCGCAGCCGCACTGACACGCTCCTGCCCCCCAGTTCCTCTGCCCTTCTCTTGGGCAGAATGAACACGCAATATGCTCAAAAGCCTGGCCCTGGACCAGCTCTGCCACTTATTAGCTGTGTGAGCCGGGCACAATCACTTAACATCTCTGAGTCTCAGTGTTCCACCAGTGCAACGGTGGCACCAACACCTACCTTGCCAAGGAGAGTGCGCTGAAATGAACCGGGCAACACCTGCAAAGCGCCAGTTCAGCACAGTGACAGCCCTCACGAGCGATGATTAAGCAAGCCCTCTCCGCTTTGCCACCGCTTCCTCAGCGTTCCTCCAGGTCCACCTCTCCAGTTCCTCGTCCCGACCCCTGCCTTTCTCACTCACCCTTTGTGTTTGGACACCGGCACCACAGTGCGCACCGGCTGCACGACGCCTCCGTCCGGGCCGCTAGAGAAGTTGGCCAGAGCCGCCTCCAGAGGTGGGATGAGGAGGCTGGAGCTGCGCAAGTGGCCCTGCACCTCGGCAGCGCTCAGGAACGCGGGCGCCGGGCTCATCTCGCCTCCGCCTTCCAACCTCAGCCCCGGCCAGTGATCCGGGCTCCTCCGCAGCGCCCTATTTGAGCAGCACGCTGACTGCTACCCGGCCTCCGGGGCGGAGCAACGCAAACCTGTCTCCGCCCACTCCCGCCTCCTGGTGGGCGGGACAATGCGAACCTGTCTCCTCCCACTCCTGCCCTCCGGGTGGGCTGGACTTGGAGGTCCGAGATCTCAATCACGTTGGCAGGCCTGGAGGTAGAAGTCTTGTGCCTACTTTTCAGTTTGTGCAATGGCCAGGTCCTTCAGCAAGAGGTTTAGTACAGGGCTCTGGTGCCTCACCTGCCCCTTCCCCACCAACTCCTAGTGGCTGCTGTCTTGGGAAAGGGCAGAGGAGAGGGGGAACTTCGAGGCGGGGTTCCTTTATTTCTTAAATTATTACCTGCTGCTAGACGATCTTAGATAAAAAGAGACGGGAGGTTATTAAACGTTTTCCTTTCAATTCCGTCCCAATCTCCCTGTCACGGCCACCCTCCCCCAACCCTGGCTGTTAGATTAAGTGCACAATTATCTCTCAGGCTAACTAACCAAAATAATACTCACCTTTAAAAGGGGGAAGTTCCCAGGGCAAGGTTTAGTGATCGCAGTTGCACAGACAAAATGCAATGTATTTCTTTTTTGTTTTTTTAAGTTCATATTGCACTTGAATTGGGGGAAAAGACAAGTAATTTGTAGAGTAACTAATAACAGAAGCCCACAGCCCTTAATCCAGCCACTAGGAAGGCTTTTTTTTTTTTTTTTTTTTTTTTTTTTTTTTTAAAAAACTGCATTGGTTAGATAACAGTACCTTGAAGAAGCCAGAGAAGCTAAAACTTGAAATAATAATGTCAACAATGATGACAGCAGTTACTGATCTTCCCTAGTACCAATATTGCACAATGTGCTTTGTGTGCATTATCTCATTTAATTATCTCATTTAATTACACCACAACCTGGGTGTATGTAGTAGGTGCTGTTGTTAGCATCCCTCTCCTTTTTAGGATCTGAAAAGCGAAGGGGCTTTGTCCAAGTCATCCAGCAAGTCAGCAGGGGAGCTGGGCTTTGCCTGTGGAGTGAGGCTCCAGAACTACCATTACACTACTCTGGCAGAGAGGGAAGAAGAGGGCGTTTCAAGCGAGATGAAGCCCACAGGAGGAAGAAATGTTGTCCTGTCCTTGGGAACAGTAAGTGGCCAGACAAGTCAGGCTGGAACAGGGGCCTGGTGTCTGGGAAGATCCAGAGATAAAACTGGGAAAGCTTCTTAGAGTCAGGCGGCAAAGGAGGAAAATCACAGGGTTAGAGATTAAACATTTATAGAGATGGGTCCTGTGCCAGTATAGAATGGCACAGATGAACAAGAGTGGAGCTTGGGAAGATGTGGGCACAACTTCCTGTTATTTTAGTTGGGAGATATACAGGGGAGGTCTTAGGAAATAGCCACATCAAAACAAAAAGCAGGGTGGGGGATTTAGCTCAGTGGTTCTGCCACCAGCCTCACAAGGGTAAGAACTCGAGATTGATCCCCACTACCAAACCAAACCAAACCAAACAAAAAGCAGGGCATAAGGGCAAAAATATGCACTAATAAGAGGTCATGTGTAATGCATGCAGCAAGTGGTTGGCATACAGTAGCCATGTAATAAAGAAACTGCTCTTAAAGTATTATCAAAAAAGGAGATCCTGATAGCTAGGAAAAACCGATAGCAGATACATAAACGATTTTGTACCTTCAGTTTACTGCCCCTAGAAACTCATTCCCAGAGTGGATGTGGTTACAGAAATGTTAATGGATCTTTGTTTGTATTATAATTGCTACATAATATTTACTTGATTTAAAAAAAAACACCGAGGCATAAAGAAAATAAACAATCTAGTCTGTTGTTCTTGAGAAGAGAAAAAAATAAAATGAAATACAAAAAAACTAAAAGATAAATATGAAATAGGAAAGCCAGATATTTATTTACTTTCATTGTGAATTAAGGAATTTGTTCTAGGCTAAAAGAAAACTCTAGTATGTGTTTCTAGTAAGTCCTATAGGGACAGGTCTAGTTTGTAAATCCCTTCAAGTTATCTTTCTTATAAAGCTTTGGATACCTAGCCCTTTTTTTTATTTTTAATTTTGAGACAAGATCTTGCTAAGTTGCCCAGGCTGGGCTCAAACATACGATCTCCGTACCTAAGCCTCCCAGAGTGCTGGGATTGCAGGTGTGCACAACCACACTGGGCTTCTTAAGTATCACTGAAATTTTAAAGTTTAATATTAGTGTTATTTGGCGGGATATCGGGAATTGAACTCAGGACCTTGAGCTTGCAAGGCAGGTGGCAGCACCACTGAGCTAAATGCCCAGCCACTAAATTTTATTATTATTAAAATAACAAAACTACTAATTCATGTAGCAATGATTTAACAGAAAGTTCATTCATAAGGTAAAGGCTCGTACCCTTTTCCTGCCCTCCTCTGAGGCCCAGTACCGGGACAAGCCTACAGGGTTTGTACGACCTGGTACCTGAGCCTCTGGAATTTCCCTGCTAAACCTCAGACACATCCTGGGAGGGACAAGGTCTGTAGACTTCTGCCACCATCACATTAAAGGTGACTGCATGGCAGAGCTGTCCTCATGGCGAGGCAAGGATAATGACCCTGGTATTCGTCTACAGCAGAAAATTAATGGGACATACTCCATACTCAAGGTAACTCTTAAACATTGAAATGCAACACTTAAAAATGCAAAATACACTATGAACAAAATATCCACATTTTAAATGCAGGATTAGAGTCTCCCTTTGGCTTCAGATTCCAACATAGCTCCTTATTTAACTTTAATTTTAAAAATATTTTTATTAGTATTGATCTTCACAGTAATTGGCGTCTTCCCTTAAAGGCTGCGGCCAAGACGAGCGTCTCCCTTCCTTTACTCCTGGTCTCCCCAGCTCTGGAAGCAGCATTGCCCACTCTGGGCCAGGGGCAGCACTGGAGTCTTTGGGACTCTTGACGAAGGGCGCTCGGGGGCTGCAGAGGTGGCGCCCCGGCTCCTCCCCGAGCGGGCCGGCCCTTCCCTCTCTGGCCAGTGGCTGCTGGGCTCCTGGCACGGCCACCGCTATGGCCTGAGCGGTGTCCCCGCCTCCCGGGCCCTCGGCTCCTGCTCCATTCCTGCGGCTGCTGCGGCGGCGCTCCAGCTGCTCCCGGACCTCTGGGAGGCCGGACAAAAACAATTGTAACTAGTCTAGTTTGTTAGATTTTCTGCTGTTGTTTTTTAGGTTTTGGTTTGTTCGCCTAAATGGGGGAAAGGGAGAAAAGGAACCTTTCATCCGCAATCTCCCGACTGATTTGTTGGGGTTTGACACGGGCGACTCCATCTTGATAGGACGACCGCTGTGTCTCATGTAGAAGTAACTTCTCATAGAGCTTTTTTAAAGTGCAGTAAAGCTCAACATAAATTTAACCTTCCCCCACTTTAAAGTGTACAATTGATTGGCTTTTCCTACATTCACCGTGTTATGCAGCTATCACTACCGATTCCAGAACACTTGCACTACCTCCAAATGAAACAGTCACTGTCTGATGCCTCTTCCCTGGTGCCCCTGGGCAACCGCTATTTTGGGGGGTCTGTGGATTTGTGGAGTCTAGACATTTCCTGTAGAGACTCCTCGGTGCCTTTTTGCGTCCAGCTGTTTGCAGTCAGCATAATGTTTTCAAGGTTCCTGTAAGGTATACGATGTATCAGTAACTCACGAACATTTGTATACATGTGTTTGTATGGCCATGTTTTCTACTCTCGGGTACATATACCCAGGCATGCTATTGGCATTACATATGGTAATTCTGCTTAACTTTTTCAGGAACTGCCAACCGGTTTTGCGTATGGGCTGCACCATTTTACATCCTCATCATCAATGCATGAGGGTTCCAGTTTTCCACATTCTCATCAACACTTTTCATTTTCTATTTTGTTTGTAGTTTAGCCATTCTAGAGGAGTATGAAATGGCTTTGCGTTGCATTTTAAATTTTTCATTTCCCTCCTAACTGATGATTTTGAGCATCTTTTTATTTACTTATTGGTCATTTTTAAATTTTTCATTTCCCTCCTAACTGATGATTTTGAGCATCTTTTTATTTACTTATTGGTCATTTTTATAATTTCTTTGGAGAAATGTCCATTTAGAACCTTCTACTCATTACCAAGTTGGATTGTCTTTTACATTGTTGAGTTGTAAGAGTGCTACATAAATCAGGACAGGAAACCTTTATCAGATGTACGATTTTCCAGAGATTTATTCCATTCTTTGTGCATCCTTTCCTTTTTTTTTTAACAGTGTCCTTGGTACTCAAGAGTTTTTTTAAAAAAAAATTGGTGAAGCCCATTTTATCTATATCTTCTCTGGGTGTTATACTGAAATCCTGATTGTGAATGCTTACTGCTGTTTTATTTTAAGAATTTATTGTTTCTGTTCTTACATTTGGATAAGTGATCTATTTTGATTTAATTTTTGCACGTGGTGTAGAGTAAGAGTCCAATGTCATTTTTGTGTGTGTGGCTGGCTAGTTGCTCAAGCATCTTTTTTTTAAAAGGCTGTTCTTAAAGAAAGAAAAAAAAAAGACTGATCATGGCACTTTTATTGTTCATTTATTGTAGAAGTATAGATTTATGGCTAGATTCTCAAGTCTATCCCACTGATTTATATGCATGTCCTTTTTTTAGGACTATACTGTTTTGATCACTGTCACTTTGTAGGAAATGTTGAAATCACCAATCACCAAGGGCCATTGACCTAATCAATCGCGACTACATGATGCAGCCTCAGTAAAGACTCTCGGACAACGAGATTCAGAGAGCTTCTGGGTTGGTGAACAGGTTGATGTGCTTGGTGAGCATCGCACCACAAAGGGCATGGGAGCTCGGTGCTCCCCTTGCTGTATGTACCTGGTTGTGTGGCTGCTCTTTTGTAATAAACTGGAGCAGTAAGTATTGTATAGCACTTACCTCAGTCCTGGAAGCTGTTCTTATGAATCATAAACCCGAAGAGGGATTGTAGGAACCCTAAAATTTGTAGATGTGTGAGTACCCTGAGGAACTCATGGTCAGCTGGATATG